GACAGAGTTTCTGTGTGTAGCCTTGGCTGTCCTGACACTTGCTCTGTAGACCAGGCTGGCTTTGAACTCACAGAGATCGCCTGCCTCTCTCTCCTGAGTGCTCAGATTAAAAGCATTTACCACTTCACCTAGCAGAGGCCAAAGGTTTTATGAGGAAATCAAACATCTGATAAAGAGAAAGCTGTGTGGGATGAGGAGAGTACTGTCTATTAACTAAATAAACTGAACACACACCTTTAATCCCAGCACTTAGGAGGCAGAGGCAGAGTTTGAAGATAGCCTAGTCTACACAGAGCAGGAGCTACATAAAGAGATCCTATTTCAAAAGAGACCAAAAACATAAATAAAATAAAATTATAAAAGCAAAATCTACATAACTGAGGAGAGGAAAAAAACAGCTATGCTTTAAACAGAAATCCTACTGATAATTAAGAAAATTTGGTAATTTTCATGCAAAATGACAGTAAGGCTGACCTAAGGAGTTGTGGTGATGGATACATGAGGGAGAGATTCACAGAGAACATCTCAAAGAAAAAGGAGGTCCTGGAGAGATGGTTCAGTGGTTTAGAGCACTGGCTGCTCTTGCAGAGGACCTGGGTTCAATTCCCAGCACCTATATGGGTAATATAAATCCCACGGGATCCAAAGCCCTTCTGGGCACAAGATACCCATGTCATGCATAAGCACACTTGCAAACAAAACACTCATATCTATTAAATTTTTAAAAATTCAGAAAGGTACTTATTAACATGATAAAATAAACATGACATCAGGAAGTGAAAAGGACTGCGTGGCAGGTGTTTGTTACTGCTCTTTTGAATTTACTGTTTACTGTTAAGGTGCCTGATTGTCTGTATGTGTATTTAATGCCAGAATAGGCCAGAAGACAGGATTAGATTCACTGGAACTGGAGCTGGAGTTGAAGGCAGTTGTCAGTTAACTGATGTGGGTGCTAGGAACCAAATCTGGATTTTGGGTCCTCTGCAAGAGCAGCAAGTGTTCTTAACCACTGAGATACCGTGTGTGTGTGTGTGTGTGTGTGTGTGTGTGTGTGTGTGTGTGTGTGTGTGTGTAGCTCTAAGGATGATTCCACTTTTACATGGGTTCCAGGAATCAAACTTAGGTCATCAGGCTTCAGCCAGCGAATGCTTTTACCTGCTCCTGTCCATAGTCTTTTAAATGTCTTCCTACTTACATGTACATACACTCTGTGCACACATATTTGGAGATAGACAGAATTGGAGAATCTAAGAAAGTAGTGTGACCATTAGCTCTCACACAGTTTACCAGAAATTGATGCCTTTAGTGCTAAAGCTGTTGTGTTTGTGTTAAATATACTATGAAACACCCTGGGGCACAATCCCAGTGGCTGGATATACAAGTGTGGGCCAATGTTGTGTGGCAGGCAGACAAGGCACTTGCTGGAAGTCTACAATTTTATGCCCTCCCCCTTTAAGGCGAACACGAACTTTTGATCCAACTGAGCTCTCCTATGCCACCTACCCCAGCACGTTTTTCTGTCTGTTGTTGCTCTTTGTTTTGTGTTTTCTAGACAGGGGCTCTGAATGTAGTTCTGTCCATCCTGGGACTCACTCACTAGACTAGGCTGGCCTTGGACTGCACCTTCAAGAAAGTTTTTACTTTTTTCTCCTTCTACAAAAAAACACAGTAATAAATTGCATTTGCCATTTTCTTCCTTTTGTCTTTTCATCATTAACTGCCACCACTTGTTAATTTGCTGTCATTTAAGGTGAGCCTCCAGTTTCCACAAGGGAAAAGGATATCTGTTGCCAAGTTCATTGATACTGTCCCAATGAACTCCTCAGAAATCAATACTATGTCTTCCATATTTTAGCATCTCACTAACCTGGAAGATTAGTGGGTGGCATGAGCTGCTGCTCCTTGAAGGATGCTTTGAGGATACCCTTAACAGTGAGTTTCAGCTTGACCCCCTGATGTCTGTGAAGACGCTGGTCTTATGCCTGATCATGAGCAGCACGTCCAGAGAGGGCTGCGGCCTACGGTCAGTGTCTATCTGCACCCTCCTCCAGCTGGTACCACCTTGTCTCTGCCCCCAGCCCATAGCGCCCTCTCTTGCCTTTTAAAAGATCTGTGTATGGGCTGAAGAGATGGCTCAGTTTAGAGCACTTGTTGCTCTTGCAGAGGACCTGGCTTCCAGCCTCAGCACCTATATAGAGGCTCACAACCATCTCAGTTCTCCTTCCAGGAGATCCAACACCCTCTCCTGACCTCCATGGGCACCAGGTACACACATGGTATACATATACACATCCAAGAAAAACATCCCTACACATTGAAGTTAAATAAATCTAATACAGAAAGATTTGTGTGTGAGAGGCCCCCTGACACAATGTTTGTAGAAAAGCTCTGTAAACCAAGTGCAGCACATGCAAGGCTCTTCTTGTCTCGAATTAAACGCCATGCTGCTGCCACTGCCTCCTGCTCTCCTCTTCCTGTGGAGTAAATCCCCCAACACTGTGAATGCTTGACCAGCTCTCTACCACTTGGCCACACCGACAGAGTCCGGAGAACTTTTAAAAATGTCACACTGTATGAGTTTTTTAAGGGTGCAGAGGGCAGCACGTTGGATCAGTACCTGATTTTACACTGAGCATTTTGCACTACTCGCACTATCATTTATTCACTTAAAATTTTCTCCGGCTCCTAATTAGTTCTATTTTGAAGTATTGGAAATTGAACCCAGGGACTGACATATACTTAGTAAGAATTCTACTATTCTCATTCTCTCTTTTCTAATATTATGTGTACACATGTTTTGCCTGCATGTATGTCTATGTACCATATGCATGTCCAGTGCCCTCAGAGGCCAGAAAGTGTCCAATCCTCTGGGGCTGGATTTACAGATGGCTGTGAGCCACCATGTGGGTGCTGGGAACTGGTCCTCAGAAAGAACAAGTGTGCTTAGCCATTGAGTCATCTCTCCAGTTTCTAAATAAATCTTTAAAAGAGTATAAAAACATTATAAAAATAGTAGCTGGAAGAGAGCCAGGAATCAAGCCAGTAAGTAGTGTTCCTCCATGATTTTTACTCCCGTTCTGACTTCTAGGTTCCTGTCTTGAGCTCCTATCCCTATCTTTTGATAAGGGATTTTAACTTGTAAGCTGAAATAAACCCTTTCCTGCCCAAGCTTTTGGTTGTAATGTTTTATCACAACTTTAGAAAGCAAACTGGTGCTGGAGAGATGGCTCTGGTTAAGAGCACTAACTCCTCTTTCAGAGGACCTGGGTTCAATTCCCAGCACCTACATGACAGCTCACAACTGTCTAACTCTAAGACCTGACACCCTCACACAGACATGGATACAGGCAAAAACAACAATGCACACAAGATAAAAATAAATTTTAAAAATTAGAAATAATGATAATAATAAAAGAAAGCAAAGTAGAACACCGGCCTTGAACTGACTTTGCAATGTAGGCCAGCCTTGCATCTGTAGTCCTTAGTTTCCCAAGTAGTTTTTGTTACTAAGGCCACTGTATCATCACCCTTTAAATTACATTTCATACATACAAAACGAATAGCCTGAAACGTAGCATTTAACCTAGTAAACAGGACATTGTCAACAGCATTCACTTGTGTTGTTTTTATTTCAGCCTCTCTTTCTCCAGGTTAACTATCAGCACACTCGGTGTTTATCATTCCTCTACTCTTCCAGAGCCCTTGTTATTTTGTTATCTTTGAAATGCAAGAGTTGCTTTCAGGTGTTTGGAATGCTCTGAGGTTTCCTGGATCACTGAGCTGGACCCCTGAGGTTACAACCTGTGCATTCTGTCCTCATTTCCTTCAAGCATGCTTCTTGGACCGCAGACACAGCCATGATTCCAGTGTTCTGACTATAACTGTACCTATGCTCTTCCTTGAAAGGTAACCAGCCCAACTAGACACCAGTTCTTTGTGAGCAGAGAGATTGTTCCTAATAGTAAAAGAACCCTGGCTGGGGAGATGGGGGCTTTAGACTGCTTCATCTTGACAGCATTTTAGACTCCAACATCCTAATCCTAAACTTGTGACCTAGTTATCCACCTTTCTACAGGGTTTTGTTGGTCATTATAGGCTGGGAATGGAACTCTACTAGGCAAGTGCTTTGCCACTAAGCTACACCTCCAACCTACTGGAGGTATTATGAGGATCCTCTTGAGAGAAAGGATATAAGGAGGTGACAAGCTGTGAAATGTTCTCTCCAAACCATTCTTACAACTGCAGGGCTTTGCAGATTCAGGCCAATACCTTTCAGGCTATTCGCACTATAATCTTACCGCCAGAGGACAGGAAAATAGGCGTGTCCAACCTGTGGCCCATTAAGGTTAAGGAGGAAAACAACACAAAATCGTTTGTGGCTTTTTTTTTTTTTTTTTTTTTTTTTTTAAGACAAGAGTCTCATAGATTCCGGGATAGCCCTGAACATTGTAGTCTGGCCTTGAACTCCTAATCCGCCTCACCCCAGATCCCAAGTGCAGGGATTACAGACATCAGTTACTGTATCTGGTTTATGCAATACCAGGTTGCTGCAACCCAGGCTTTGTGCAAACTATCAAATGAACTACATCTCCAGCCCCGCGACTTTTTTGTTTTTGTTGATCTTTTTATAACTCAACCGTGCAGTTCATCGGCGTGAACTTTGTAGGTAACAACAGTTTTGGCTATGAAAAACGACTGCATTTCGCCTCTCAGATTTTCCTTCTGGAACGTCTAGGCAATGCCAAATCTTACGCAGTGCTGATAATCTCTGTAAAACTGCCAAGAGGACCGAGGGGCGCCAATTCTCTCAATTTGAGCAGGAAGGCCGATTTACGCATGCGTACCTTCTCCAAGTCCCAGAGAGCCTGCCGAAGGCAGTGGCTTAAGTCGCATTTCCCCAGCACTAATTTTTTGAGCGCGCACGCGCCTTGTGCAGGCAGCGGTTGGCTGACGCTTCCGTCACTCACCGGAAGGGCCAATGAGCGAGCCTAGATACCTACTTCCCACTGAACGGCAGGCGGTGCCGGGCGTGGCTTGGAGGGCTTTGTTCCACGCGCGGCGGAGCTTCGAGAGCGGCTGGGGAGCGAGTTCTGCTGCCCTGGAACGGCAGCCGAGCGCCCAGAAACGCCTCTGGGGCCAAACGTGCGGGAATGAATGCCAGGAGAATTTTAGGGCCTGTCTTCTATACCTCCCCGTTTCTCCGTAGAAACCCGGAAGCACTTCATCGCCGCCGGAACACACCGCGGGCGTGACCCGACGCTCCGCAGATCTTCTCCCCGGAGTCACCCAGCATGCTCCGTGCACGTGGCAGCTGATGTCCTAAATAGGAGTGGTCGTGGGCTGCTGTGCTGTGAGGGAGGAGACGCTTCCCGAAATCCGGCAGGAGCTCACGAACAGCACACTGATAGGAATGCGCTACGCTGGGTGGGAAGAACGGAGGCTGTGTGCGCTGCAGGGCCATCTCTTCCGATGGAGACCCAGCACTGAGACAGGGCAGGCTCTTTGCCCAGGCAGAAACAGTGATTTCAGAATGTTCAAGTCCGGGTTACTGGCTCCACTAGGCGCCGCTTTAATTAAGAGATCGCCCTGGGTCCCTTACACATCTGCTGTTCCCTAAATAAGTTTCCACACAATTACAAGGCTGGGAAAGTTAGCCCATAATAACTGGACTGGCCCCCGTGGCATGAACAATGAGACATTACCAATTGCTCTCTGCCTCCTAAGAACCACTGACCTATAGTTAAGTCTAAGAAACCCAGACCTTAGTCCCATTTTACATGGCAGTTCTTAAGGAGCCTGTCCTTCAGCTTAAAAAGAGAAGTGGCAAAGTTACACCTTGGAGTATTTTTAATTTTCTTCTTAAATGAATTGAGTTTCCAGCACCCATGTCAGACAGCTCACAGCTGCCTGTAACATTAGTTGCAAAAGACTCAATGACTGATCTGCCTTCTGTGGACACTCAGGCACTCGTAGTACATACAAACATAAAATTATGTCCTGTGTAGGCACTGTGTCAGATACTGTCATTCCCTAGCCTGTTTCCAATTAGTATTTTAAGATCCTTGTGATCATCGTTAGAATGTTTGACATTGTTTCATTTTATTTACTTCTTTTTGAATGAAGTCTCATGTATTCCTTGCGATCCTGAGCGCATTATATAGCAGAGGATGAACTTGAACCTCTAATGCCTCTATCTCTTACTGGGATTTTAGGAGTGTGGCAACACCCTGGACATGTTTTTGGTGCTGAGGTTTGAGCACAGAGCTTCCTGTATACTGAGCAAGATCTCTTAGTCACATCACTGTCCCCAAAGGCCTAATTTTGAAAGCTGCTACTTGACTTGCCAATTTGAGTCCTATTTTAAAGTTTAAATGAACTTTGGCTTGGTGGATGTGATGGTTTACACTGCCAAATCAACAGGATCTCGACTCACCCACGAAAAGGAGCCTTGGGCATGCCTGCAGGATTTTTCTTCATTAGGATAATTGAAGTAGGGACCCAGAATGGTAAAAGGAGAAAGTGACCGGAATGCTAGCATTCATCTCTCTTGCTTTTGACTGCACATGCAAGGTGAGGAGCTGTGAGCCAAAACCCTTCTTGCCTGAAGTTCTTTTGTTGGGTATTTTGTCACAACAATATTCAACTAATACTACTGATTAGGACAGAATTTCCAGCAGTTTCCGAAATTGCACTCATCCAGTTTGATCAGTTGCTGTGACGAATACTATGACTAAAAGCAACTTAGAAGGAAAGGGTTTATTTGGTTTACATTTCTGTCACAACCCATCACTTAGAAAAGTAAGAACTGAAGCAGAAACCAGAGAGGAATGCTGCTTCCTAGTTCCTTTCCTACATTAATTAGCATCAGGACAGCTGTCCCACAGGCATGGCCACAGGCCAACCTGATAGAAGCAATTCTTTAAAAACATTTTTACGTGCATGTTTGTTTGCCTGAATGCACATATGTGCACCATGTGTGCGGTCCTCACAGAGGCCAGAAGAGGGCACCCAGCTCCTATGGGAGACCAGCCAGTATCTAACCACTGAGCCTTCTCTGAGCTCCTGAGACAGTTCTTCAGTTGAGGTTGTCTCTTCCCAGCTGATTTCAGGTGGGTCAAGTTGACAAAACTGACCAGGCTACATAATGTCACTTTATTTATGTCAAGCAGTATTACTCAGTGTTGACAATTATGAAATCAAAATATTAATTCTGAGAAATATTGAAGGTCTGCATTGTAAACTATCAAGTATCCAGCCCACATTTATATAAAAATAAATCCATTTCATTGAAATAAAAAAATTATTTTAATATTTTTTTTTTTTTTTTTTTGGAAACATGGTCTCATTATGTAGCCTTGGCTGGACTGGATGCTTCAATCTTTATTAAAGAATTTTAGAGCTGGAGAGATGACTCAGGGGTCAAGAGTTCTGATTGCTCTTCCAAAGGTCCTGAGTTCAATTCCCAGCACCCACTTGGTGCCTCACAACCATCTACAATGAGATCTGGTGCCCTCTTCTGGCCTGCAGTTGTACATGCAGAACACTCATGCATAAAATGTAAGTACATAAAGTTAGAATTTTATTTAAAATAAGTTTCTTGGGCTATCGAGATGACACAATCATGTGTTCAGGTCCCCTGCACCAAAGCTGGGCGCAGTTCTGAGTGCCTGTCATCCCACACTGGGGAGGCAGAGACAGGAGAATCCTTGGGACTTGTTGGTCAGCCAGTATGACTGAAATGGCAAACTCCAGATTCTGTGGAGAGCAACTGAGGAAGACACTCACCATTGATGGCATGTTTCACATGTACCCCACACCTACCCACACACGAATATAAGTTTGTGATTTCCAGTAACATCCAGGTCATTAATTCAGCTGAAGAGAGTTTGTGAGAAAGTTTAAGAAGCCATGTGAGTTGTGGTGTTGCATGTATTTAATTCCAATAGAAGCAGACATATCTCTGTAAATTTGAGGCCAGCCTGGTCTACATAGTGAATTCCAGGACAGCTAGGGCTATGCAGGGAGATCCTGCCTTAAACAGCCTGGAGAAGGGCAGGTGGAAGTTAAAGCAAAGAGGCAGCTGTTAGCAGTGCTGCATAGTAACAGCCAGTGAGTATCAGAACTACAGCATACTCTGCACTATGCTGAGTCCAGAAACCCCTGTATCACACTACTGTGATTTTAACAGTCAGGGCTCCATGACTGAGTGGGAGAGGTACTGCACTGGCCAGGACAGGGTAGTCACAGCACTGGTTTCATTTGTATTCACATAAAGTTCTCCCTGGTGGCAACACCCTCCTGGGGTGGCTTAGCAATCCAGGCTGTTTTAAATAGGTATGTGTATGGGTGTTTTTCTTGCATGTATGTATGTGCACCACCTGCATGCATTGTTTGTGGAGGCGAGAAGAGGGCGTGAGACTTCCCCACCCCCACCCCAGGCTACTTTGATCTGTAGAACTTCACAGGATGCTCAAAACAGAGAAACAACACTTGGAGAGGCAGGGCCTACCTGTATTTCAGAAGGGACACACATGACAGCTCATTAGTCCATTGGCCAGATCCAGTCCAAGATACCACTGAACTACATGGGGACTGGGAAAACACCAGAAGAGAGGGAACAGGAAGCCTGTGAGCAACAGTAAGGCTTATTTTAGACCCCAGCAGTTGATACCTTGAGGAAGGCAGAGGCTGCCAGAGAAAAGGCTGCAGAGTCTAAGGCAGATGGGAGATGCACTGAGCAGAAAGGTTTTGCTAAGGATTTGGGTTGTGAGGTCACCTCAGAGACAAAGTCTTTCCCATGGGCATGGTTGAGCTGGGTAGCACATCTTACCTGAAGGTTCTCCCCTGGAGCAACGTCTGGAAAAGTTAGGCAACTATACTGCTGGAGAAGATGACCTCATTCAAGTGGCAGCTGGTAGGAGCCCATGGGTCCTTGGCATGTGGACTTTCCACAGGGCTGGATGTACAGCATAACATAAGGGCAGATAACAAGAAAAGTAGAAGCCACACTTCCCATTTGAAAGGACATACCATTACTTGCCTTTTTCTATTTGATCACTCAGTGTGGGATGGAGGCAGGGACAGTGGGAGGCTATTGTGCAAGCTGCTATCTGAGCAGCTTCCAGAAGACAGTGTTAGCTTTCTTTTAGACAGGGTCTCATGTAACCCTATAGAGCTGAAGATGACCTTGAACTTCTGATCCTCCTGCTTATATCTAGAATTACTGGTGTGTGCTACAACACTTTTATGTGGTCCTGGAGACTGAATTAGACAAGCACTCTTTCAATTGAGCTAGAAGACAGTATCTTGTTAACCCTTTCTTGATCAGGACACCATCTCTTTTGCCACTGCTGAGGAAATGAGGTGAAATCCAGTGACCTTGTGAGAAAGGCAGGGCCGACACAGATGCTAAGTGTTTTGCAATATGGAAATCTGAGGCTTGAGGACACTCTGTGTCTGCCTGACTTGACTCCTGTCCTCTCACAGTCGCCGGATCAGGAGACTGTGTCATCTTAAGCACTGCAGGGCAGTTGTAGCCACTAAGCAGAGGCCCCTCACACACTTAGCTGCTTCAGCACATGACATGGACCAGGTGCAGAACAGCGTATCACGCTTCCGTAGTTGCCAAATCTGCTGACAGCCTGACTGTGAAAAGAGGAAGGAGCATGGTGCTGGACCTGAGGGACACTGGTAGATTGTAGAGGTGGGTTCCATCTGTTTCACTGCTAAGGAAGTCTGCCAAGAGAGACTGGAGTGGGAAGGCTGCACCCGACCCTAGGAACACTTGGTTTTCCTGTGTTGCATGATCCCTTTCAAGGCTTCTACCTGGGTATACCCCTCTCCTCAGTCCTGGGGCTGCCTCTACCTTAAGAGAGCCCGAGAAGCCTGTCCTCAGATAATCCCTCTCACTCTGCCAGGGCACCAGGTCTTCCTCCCCCTACTCGCCGCACCAAAGAAATCAAAACCCAAGCTGAGGTATCAGAAACGTGTTCTTTTTTTTTTTTTTTTTTTTTTTCTTTTTCTTTTAATAGTAAACCTCTTTACAACAAATATAGTGAAAGAGTTTTCAAACCAAACTCGTAAGAATCTCGAGGACTTTGTCTTTTCTTAATGTGCAGAATACTAGAAAGCGTCACCGTACAGCACGGAAAGAAATAATGAAAACAAATCAACAGCCACACACTTGGACTCACCCTGCCCCAAGACTCCGGAGCCAGGAGTGTGGGTGATTGTCAAGTTTGGGGATGGGTCACCTCTTGGCTGGCCCCACCCCTCCTACTTCCCTCTCTCTGGGGCTTGAGTGGGGTAGAGAATTCAGATTCTCTTTGGGAATCTTAGCCCTCCTGCCCCATGAAGTCCCATCCTGCGTAAGCAGGAGGCAGAAGGGGGTAGAACAAGGAGCTCCCAGCCTCCAGGAGAGCCTACATTCCCCCACAGGGGGTTCCAGAGAGTCAGTTAAAAATATATAGAGATAAGAGAGATTTTTAGATACATCATTTCTGTCTCTCCAAACAAATAAATAATCAGCAAGAGAAGGTGCAAGTTTCTTCCTTCCTGTCCAAGGTGGGGAGGGACGGTCGAGTGCACTGCTGTGGGTGGAGGGAATGTGTTCCGCTGAGGCATGTGGGGATGGCCCTCAGTCCCACTATCCCTGAAAGCTGAGGGACACCTGGGTGGGAAGGGCACTGGGTGACACCAGAGGCTACTTTGGCAAATACCCAGTTTTGCAGAGGGAGTGGATAGGAGGCAAATTTGGCTTGTGAGAGGAAGAAAATAAGTCCCCGTTTGAGGTCTGGGTTCCCAGGGATCCATTTACCTGGCCAGCCAGAAGCCCCTACATAGCCCCAGGAGAAACCTGGATATACTGAACTGCAGAAATATCACATATTCATTCACAGACTGTCCCTACTGTCAGGGACAGAGACAAACACACACAACACACACACACACCCATTCATGGCAATCAGAAGCCAGGTTTGCTTTCAGGAAGCAGATGGCAAACTTTTGAGTAGCACACTGTGAACTTCAGGGGCCCTACCCTGAGCTGTGTGTAACGGTGGCCAAGCTCAGCCTAGAAAGGTTGGCCTGAGAAGAGGCCAGAGACTCCATGTTTATTGAGCACCTATCACTCACCCACTCAGCATTTACTGAGGGCCTACAATGTGCCAGCTGCTTTCCTGTACAGGACTACACCCTGGCTTCTTTCAAGGCCTTAACCAAGTCTTAAAACTCCCTCTAGGAACTGTGAGGTGGGGTGGGAAGGCAGGGCCTGTGCGTGACACCCTTGCCTGGTCAGCTACTGGGGTGAAACTCTGGGCAAAGGAGGGTCCCTGCCTTATGGAAGGCAGAGCTCCCAGAAGGAAGAGGAACTTGAGTTTGCTTCACAAACAAGTGAGAACTCCAGGGTCAGAACTAGTCTGGGAGGGGCCTGGGGAAAACTGTAAGGAGACAGAGCTCCTAGAGTGAGGCCCTGGGTGGAGGTAGGCTGTCGGGAGAAGCAGATGGCCAACTAGCAACTCCCTATAACTTTAGGACAAATGTTTCAGGGCTGAGAGCAGCCCAGGGAAGAGGGGAGTGAGAGCTACAGAATTGGAAGCCACCTATCCCTGTGTAAACACACCCAACCACACAGACACAGAGGCCCTTGGAGCCTGAGTCACATAAGATTTACGAATACACCCACTGGACTCAGAGGCACTCAAAGGTACATCCACACAGCTGCACACAAACACATAAACACAGGGTGCACCCAGATACGCCCCCGAGAGCATGCTCACACCCCTCTGCTTCTGGCTCCTTCCCTGCATCAAGTGTCAAAATACTACAAAATGCTGGGTCATAGGTGGGCAAAGACCATCTTACTACAACACTGAGCCTTGTCTAACTCTACCCTCCCTACGCCCCAAGGGAGTGTGTGCTGCCTCCCATCCCCTTCCCTGGGTCCTCGAGGAGGCAAAGGAATGGGGAGGGGTGGACAGAGAGCAGGCTGGGGGTGTGTTTATTCCCTCCAGTTTGATCTCAGATTCAGCAAGAGGCCTGAGGACCCAATGCTTGCACTGCCCCTGGGTGCTTGCCTGCAGCCCCACTGAGGAGGCGACAAAGCACAGGTCTGGGAGAGGAAGGCAAGAACAGCAGAAGAATCCCATCTGTACAGTACGGGCCATTTGAGTCATTATTATTACAATATACTTTGACAAAAATAGAATCTCATTTCATATCAATACAACAACAACAAACACAACAGTTTCCTGGACTGTTAACCACTAACATTTTGGAAGGTCGCTATTTACAATTACAGTAGCAAGAGGGCAGGTTTGGGGTGTGGCCTGGAGGTGGAGGGACAGGAGGTAGCGAGACAAGGAGCACAAAAAGAGCTGGGAGGTGGGTCAGGGCAACAGCCGGGAGGATGGGGGAGGGGCCTCACCTGCAGGGACCTCTAGCTCCACAGACCGTGCTGTGTGCCCAGTGTGCACTCTTCTGGGTATGGGTGCGCAGAGCAGAGAGGTGCCCGCCCCGTGCCTGCCCCTGACAGGCCTCCTGCCCTCAGTGCCCCAGGGAACCACCCTGGAGCCAGTTCACTGAAGGTCCTCTCCCAACTCTTCCAGTACATGGCCAGCTTTCTAGGGTTGGGACAGGCCGAGGGATGGGGATCTATTGCACTGTACATTTTTTAAAAAAAGCCAGGGGTAGGGTCCCAGGTCATCACACCCAGTCCTTACTGCCCTCATTAGCCCTCTCTCTACAGCGGTCTCCCTCCAATGTTACCTGGGGAGAGGTTCCTACCGCAAGCCCCTGCCCTGGCCTCAGACTCCCAGGCAGCCTGCCTAGCATAGCACCCAGATCTTGTGATGCAGCACACAGGATCAGTGAGTGTGGTGTGTACGCAGAAAGCTGGAGGGACCAAGATGGGTAATTAGCTGTGAACAGCCCAGAAGCAGAGTCTGCCTCTTCCTGTCCCTGAGACACAAACCCATCATCAAGCCAGCTCTGGGGTTTCAGTCTACTGTCCGGGTTTCTGTTGTTGGATAGTTTTTGGTTCTTTACATCTATCTAGGAATGGGATGGGAGGCTCCACATGCAGGGCTCGGCACCTGTCCTTCTCCAAGGCCTACTGCCCCCCCCCTTCCTGCAGCATATGTGTACAACGTGCAAAGTGTCCCCCCCCTTCCCGCAATAAAGAGAGTCCCCCACCAGTGAAAATGGTGGGGCCAAGAAAGGGGCAAAAGCATCCCTCTCTCTAAAGCGAGAATTCGAATTTAAAAATATAATAATAATAATAATAATAATATAATTATACACAAATGTAACCATCAACAGGACATGGAGCAGAAGAAAGGAAGTGGGGGGTCGAGCGGGAGGAGCCCAGGACAGGGAGGGGTGGGCGGTGAGATTGTCAACTCTTCATCAGGGAGGCTGAGAGGAGGGAGTGGGAACCGTCACTTTAATGTCTGTGAAGAGAGGAGATGGAAAAGGTGGTGTGAGGGGCAGCCTGGCCTGTAGGATGCACCCCAACCCTCTCCCAAGGGGTAAAACTCTAGGGCGAGGCCAGCTGCAGGTCACTGAGCAGGGCACAGTGCTGCGAGGAGGGGTCAAGGGCTGTGAGTACTGACCCAAAAGGAATGCCTGGCCACAAGGCCTCTCGGGTGGGAAAGAAAGCAGGCTGAGTGCATGTGGGGCAGTCCCTGGGTGATGCAGACACCGGCAGACAGAAGGGCAATGTTACAGTACCCAAGTATCCAGCCGCATCCTCTTCACAGCTGAGCCATCAGCCTCAGGCTCTGGGGCTGGGCGCAGCAGGCCTAGTGTAGGCCCAAAGTCCCCCCGTCCATCATCCCGGTCCCCGGTCTCATAGGATCCTCCAGCTGGGCTGCTGAGACCTTCACCAGGCTCAGGGCGGGCCGCTGGGAACACAGCTGGTGGAGGAGGTGCAGGGCTGCGTTCACGGCTTGGGGACACTGGTTCTGACTTGATGCTGATGTGGGGGTGGGTGGTGACAGTGAGAGCAGCACCCACATGGGGCAAGGGGCTGCCTGGGCTGGAGTTCAGGGGTCAGAAACATAGGAGGCAATAACAGAAAGAATGGGCAGAAGTCACCAAAGGGTAAAAACACCACAGAATGAGAGTGGGGTGAAGAGAGAGACATGTGTCAAAAGGAAAGAAGAGAAATGAGTGTTAGCTCCATCGTGTCCACACCATCGTCTAAAGCCCACACCCTTAGCCCTGCTGGCTGGGAGGAAGGGCTCATGACCGCCACTTACTGAAAATGGACAACTTCAAGGAGACCTGTCCCTCACTCCCCACCAATCCCATGGAAGGCCTCCAAAAGACTCACATGAGGTTGCTGAGAGATACGGGAACCAAGTGGGACTGTGGCTGAGGTGGCTGCTGTGGCTGTGGCTGTGGCGGCTGTGGCTGTGACTGTGGCGGCTGTGGTTGTTGTGGCTGCTGGGGCTGCTGGGGCTGTTGCCAGGCGGTGACATTGCCTAGTGCCAGCCCTGCAGGTGAGCTGAAGGCTGGTAAGGAGGATAGCTCTGCACTGGGTAGCTGGTAATCTGTAGTAAGAGAAATCAAGGGGAACGTGGAGGGGGAGCACCTCACCCAGCCCTTTGGGGAGGACAGCTGGTGTCTAACCACAGTTGTGAAAGGACAGTTACAGAGAGAAATGAGGGAAGGCAATGGAGAAGGCCCGGTAGCCTCTGCCCAGTATCAGGCCGAGGAGAGGCAGCTGGGAGCTCTAGGAGCACACTGGCCACATTCTACCTTCTTCCCTGATCCCTAAACAGGGCTCAAGGTAAGCCAGGGCAGTGGTGGCACACACCTTTAATCCCAGCACTTGGGAAGCAGAGGCAGGAAGAGCTCGGTGAGACTGAGGCCAGCCTGGTCTACAAAGAGAATTCCAGGACAGGCTCCAAAGCTACACAGAGAAACCCTGTCTCAAAAACAAAAACAAAAAAAAAAAAAAAAAAAAAAAAAAAAAAAAAAAAAAACAAAAAAAAAAAAAAAGAAAAATACAGGGCTTAAGCTGCTGCTTGCATAGAGACATAAGAAATGAGTCTGCATCCAATACTCATGTCCCTGAAGCAGAAAGGGGCTTCAGGGCCTAAGCTGGGGACATTGCATTATGGAGAAGAGTGCTTGTCTTAGCACTGATCTTAAGGAAAACATTGTGACATCTGCCCTGTTAACAGGTGAACTGGTTAAGCGCCTCACCATTCACACATCTCTAGTACGCCTCATGCTATATCCTATTTGAGATATTTAGAAATGTCTTCCACAAAAGCCACAGAGATGTGTACACAGTGGGAAGACATGCTAGAAAGAGATGTACTGTCCAGTCACCCCCAACTTATGTTCCACAGTGAATCCAAGGTCACTTGCTCTAGCCCTGTTTGTGCAGGAAGATAGTTTGACCTCTGTAACATCCACAGCTTGAGCTATGAGGAGAGATTCTTGGCAACCTCTACTCACTATGAGATCCGGGAAAAATACTCTCTATAGCAGGGGCAACAGTCCCTTCTACAGCAGAGCCATCAAGGATAAGCAAGTGGCATGTCCTACAGGAAGCATGTAGGACAGCAACAGCATGGGCTCCTAGTGAACACTCCAAGACTCCCCACGCACCACTGCTCACAGGAGACGGGTGCAGCTTCAGGTCTGAGGAGCTGCCTTCACAGGGAAAGTTAGTGGTAGCACTCTTGAGAGCCCTGGCCACTTCACTGCTTTTATTTATTGTTTTTCCACAATGTAGGTCTTGCACATGCTAGGCAAGAACTCACCACTGATCTACTGATCTGCTCTGCACCCCAAACCTCTCCAACAATTTTATTTTATTTATAAAGATTTATTTATTATGTATACACTGTTTTGCCTACATGCATACCCTTACACCAGAAGAGGGCACCAGATCTCATTATAGATGGCTGTGAGCCACCATGTGGTTGCTAGGAATTGAACTCAGGACCTCTGGAAGAGCATCCCGTACTCTTAACCTCTGAGCCATCTCTCCAGCCCTTATTTTATTTTTGGAGACAGGGTCACACTATATAGCCCTGGCTGACCTAGAATTCAGTATGTAGGTCAGGCTGGCTTTGAACTAATAGACATTTGCCTGCCTGACTCCTGAGTGTTGGGATTAAAGGTGTATACCACTATGCCCAGCTTTTTTCAGTACCTTTAAACCTCACTATAGCCTGGCCAATGGCAGTTACTAGGTTTTTTGTTTGTTTGTTTTTTATGTTTTTAAGGTTTTTTTTTTTCCTAGAATTAAAAAAAGAGTTATTTTTATTTTAAGTGCATTGGTGTTTTGCCTTCATGTATGTGTGAGGATGTCGTATGCCCTGGAACTGGAGTTAGTTATAAGCTGCCATGTTGGTGCTGGAAAACGAACCCAGGACCTCTGAAGAGCAGCCAGTGCTTTTAATTTCTAACCCATCTCTCCAGAAACCTGGTTACTAGAATTAAAATTCAGTGTAAGAGAAATGGTGGTGACGCATGCCTTTAATCCCAGCCCTTGGGAGCAGAGGCAGGTGGATCTCTGTGAGTCTGAGGTCACCCTGATCTACATAGTGAGTTCCAGGACAGCCAGGGCTACACAGAGAAACCTTACCTCAAAAAACCCCAAAACCACAAACCCCAAAACCAAAACCCAAAACCAACCAACCAAAATCAAAACCAAAAAAAGAGCAGTGTAAGAGCAAAAAGTGGGCCATAGGACTAACCATATTTAACGCTTATTTTAAAACAAGAAAGCCAGGTTCAGAACAGGGCAGGGCCTTGCCAAGGACCTAGGGAGGGATCAGAACAATCCAACTCTTAGTCCTGTCCCATCCTACCACACTAACCCTATTTACTGGGAAGCTCATTTCCTAAGGGCCTAGAGGTCAATCCCCAGGCCACCTGGCTGCCTCCTCATGCTGCTCTTGTAGTCACCACAGACAAGACTTCTAAAGCTGTGCCCTCAAGGGCTAGACCCATCTCTTAGGAAGGGTATTAGCAGAGTAGATCACCCAGCACCTGCTGGAGTTTAGCTTACACTATATGGGGTACCCACAAATGTTTGCTGCTGACAGAAGTCTGCTTAGCTAATCCTGTGGCAATAGGAACTGGAGCCTTGCTTTCACACCCCAGTGATACAAAAGAGTCCATAGCCAGTTCTGTTAAGAGCCTGTTTCAGGTTCACTGATGTCCACTAACTTCCTTCCTCTTTGACAAGACTGGGTGGGAAAAGCAGAAAGCTCCCATGGTAGGATTCCCAAACAAATTTTCCAAGGAGATCTGAGCTGTGTTTAGTCCATTCTCCTGTTAAGACTTAGGAAGAAGACTTCTCCTTACCCTTGGGGCGGGCAGGGGGAGAGACAGGCTAGTAGAACCTCATAGTCCTCTCATCTACTAATACTCCCCAACAGGAGACAGGCCCACAGGGTGCCATTTCTGAAGCAGCCTTTTCCCAGCCATTTGGGCAGGAAAGTCTGCCCAGACTCAATAGCCTGTCCCTGTAGAAGCATGAACGAGGCTGCCTCCTGCCGCTCAGGATTTCTCCCACTGCTGGGAAGGAGGGCAAAGGTAAGTTTTGCTTCAGCTTTAAGAGGACTTAGGGAGGTGGGAGAGTTTGGGGTCTTCTGGTTTAGTTTACTCTCACCGCCCAATCAGTCTGAGCACAGGTCACTCAACTATGAGGGCCAGAGGTTGAGGTGGGAAATGGCCTCCCTGTTGGGAAAAAGCCTCCTGCCACACAACAGCTCTGCAACTAGGTGATAAAGCCTTTTCCCACCAGCAGGTCCCTGACAGACACAGCAGCGTGAAAAGGCAGGCAAGGAAGGCTGGGAGCACCACGCACTGTTCTGGGGAAGGTATAAGTGGCTGACAAAACCACAACAACCCTGGGGACCCATGCCAGCTTGCACTGAATGTCCTTCTGCAGTTCTACCCAGAGGCCTTTCCCATGTCCCGGGAAGTGTGCACCTTTGCCTGCGTCCCACTCACTGCTGCACTGAGCAAACCCACTCTGCACCCAGCCACTTGTCACTGGCTCTTCACCCCCAGGAAGCTTTGCTGCACTGATCATATTCTCCTTCCTGGGTTCAAACCGCAAGTCTATTTATCAGCCTGGTGACCTGATCATCTGCTCAGGCCACCACCTCCATCCTGACCCTTCACCCCCTCACACTGGGCAGGCAGGGGACCTATGTTAAAAATAAGAGATACTCAGTTCAAAACAGATTTCTGATAAACAACGTACTAAAAAAACGAGAAGTATGTCTTTGGGATACACTTTAGCACAAAGAATGTACTTGTTTTATCTGAAGTTCAAATTTACCCAAGAATTTTGTTATTTCTCCATTTATAAAAAATACTGTGTGTGTGTGTGTGTGTGTGTGTGTGTGTGTGTGAGTGTGTATACCACACATGTACAGGGTGTCTAGAGGCCAGGAGTTGTGAGTAACCTGAGTGGGTTCTGGGAGCTGAGCTTTGGCTTTCTGGAAGAGCAGCCAGTGCTCCTCATTGTTGAGCCCTATCTTTAGCCAGGTCTCTGTAGGTAGCTCCAGCTGGACTTAGCTCCCTTTGTAGCTGAGGGTAACACTGAACTTCTGACCCTCTGATATCCACCTCCTGAGTGCTCGGGTTACAGGTGAGAGCCACCACATCTAGCTCATGAAGGGCTAGAAACGGAACCTAAGGCTGCATGCCTTCAAGGTAAACACTTTACCAACTGAGCCACACCCCCACCTGGCACTCTGTTTTTATTTGTCTGATCTACTAACTATAACACTAATTAATGGAGACTCTTCCTCAGATCGGGGCCTATCCAGCATTCTAAGTCTCCTTCTCTGGTCACTCGCTTGCCCTAAGTACAAGTGTACAAATGTCCCAAGTAACATGAACACTCACCTGTGTTGTAGGCAGTGGGCATGGAGGAAAAGGGGAGGCCCTGGCTGAGTAAACTTGGTGTTGCCACAGAAACCACTGGGGTGGTAAGCGAGTGGGTAGACTGGGAGACCCCAAGGCGCTGGGCATTGTTCTGTAGGAGAAAAGTGTCTGTCAAGAGATGGCAAATGGATGGGCTACCTCAAGGTCCCTGAATTCCAAGGGTAGGCACCACAGCATGGAGGCCCACAGACACACAAACACAAGGCTGGAAGCCTCATGGAGAAAAACATGCACAGATTAACTTGCATCTGCACCCATGCAGAAAGGAAGGCATGGGGACAGCCTGGAGCTCAATGTGAACACAGCCATGGCTCCTGGGTGGAGGGACAGAAGAGCTGTGGTCTCCCTTGGGTTAGAATCACTGGGGTCTCCTCTACACCCATTACAGTAGCAGATGCCCCTGGAGATGTATACTGGCATCTGCGAATGGAATGTGGGATCTGGGGTGGCATGTGATGGCATGTATGCACACACGTGTTTAGGGCTGTCAGCTCCATCTGCTGCTGAGTCACTTGTTTATTCCAACTCCACGCTGGGGCCGAAACTGCCGGTGTGTTGGCCGCCAAAGCCTGCTTGCCTTTTCCAGCCTTTCTGGCCTCCTGTCAGCAAGCTGGGGAGGAAGCACCCTCCTCTTTCCTGGCTGATGGTGAGTATGAAAGCATGGGAGGGCTGTATAAGTGCTTGTGAGATGGGCTCAGGGTAGGAGCTAGCAAACAGACAGGTAGGGAAGCCCTTGCTAAGAACAATTTCAGTCCTGCCTCAGGGCTCAGCTGCCCCTGGAAAACTGACTTTCCTAGATTTTCCTGTAAGGATTAGGTCAGTCTTGGGTTACAATGTTGTGTGGGCCTCTGTGGAATCAGGTAGCCAGTGGAATCCAGGGGCTCAATTCAGGCATTTGGCTGGGGCCTCAAAGGCTTGGGGATCGCCTCATGCTCTTTTCCAGATGCACACACATATATGTTTTGAGTAAATGTGGTAATACATAGACACTCATGCACACGCAGATAAACATGCATACCATGTCTAGCCCTTCCCCCTGCCCCATTCACCTCAGTGTCTCACTCAGCTCTAAGCACAGCTCCTGGCAGCCAGGAACTAAACAACCACACACAGGGAGAAGACGGATACACATACTCATGCTATAGACTGGATAACAAGGGCAAAGCTGGAACCCAAAAGCACTGCTAATATCTCAGCCACACTTACCAGATCTAAATGGTCCTCAGTCTGGTAGCAGAAACAAAACCAGAGAGGATGTTCAGGCTATGGCTTCTGTCTTTCCCACACAGCCACCCCATCTACCTATCTGCCTGAGAGCAGAGTGTTCTTTCTGGCCCAGAAGGATATATCCAGATATTCTGACTGTCTGATATCCAGAAAACACTGTAACCTGGCCTCCACCAGCCAGACACTGTGAGCTAGTTCTTATTCTCATGCTGCAGTGTGAATTCCTGTATCATCCTTTCCACCACAGAACCTTTTCTCCTATCTCCTGTTCATTTCTACTACCCTCTGGCCAGCACCACTGTGTTCTAACCTCACAAGAGGCCCTCAGGGAAGAAAAGGTTCACAAAAAACTATTTTCTCCTTCCTCCCCTTCCTTTCTCAGTCCTACTACATACCACTAACCTTCATTTCTCTTGCTAGAGGTCACTCTTCTCTTCCCACCTTCCCAGTCCCTGCCATGGCCCAGAAACCCACTCACCAAATGATGCATTAACCCTTTGCCTCCCTGGGAAGTGATGACCCGCAGATCAGGCTTGCGGCTGGGGGCTCCAAGCTGGGTGTTGTGGGTGGGTGGGGGTGGAGACTTGGCAGGGATGACTTTGTTTAGGCTGTTGCCATTGGCCACAGGAAGGAGGCCAGGGGAAGCTCGGGCACTGACGTAGCCATTCCCTGGAGAAGTGAGATGAAGAAAGAAAAAATGCTGGCCTGCCTTCTGTCCCTGCCAACTGCCCCATCAGTCATATCTGTCAATCTGTCACCTGGAGGACCTCAGAGGCATGCTATGGTTCCACATGAACAGCCTAAAGCCTTGGTCCTCAACTCAGCTTCCAGTGGGAGCGTGGGGCCGAATACAGAACTAAAAAGCGTCACAATGTGTCACTATCAGCCCTGGGTACACAACAGAGCCCTACAGCCATGCCTTTGCCCATCTAGCACTTAGACCCCTCCATCTACTTCATACGGGATGCATAATGACTAGTGGGAAAAGACGGTAGGCTATGACCTGGTCTTCATTAGGAGCCGGATCACCAGGGCTAGCTAACCATTTAGATTGTTTCTTTGACAGGAACTGTAACTGTGCTTTTGATCAACACAAGACCAGCCTGGGGTAGACAGGCCACTGATGCCGGTAATGGTGCTACTGTCACCACCATAACTAGAATGGGGATAAAGGCATCACAACTATCTTTTATATTTGTTCTGCACTCTGCCAGGTACAGGCCTTCCATACACAGTATCTCATATGTGTTCAGCCCCGTGCAGCGCATGGGATGGGCATTATCAGATCTGGGCAGAGAGGGAAACACGGCACTAGTTAAAAGAGGTGTGATGACTTGCCCAGGGCAAACAAAGGAGGTATATACCTCTACTACGTAATTCCATGACTCCAATGCACAACTATTGCCGAGGCACCTCTGCCCACTTCACACAGGACAGGAAAGGGGTGGTTCACTGACTGAATCGGGGGAGTCTAAGGTTCAGGAATGTATGTGGTGACTATAGTGTAAAATCCCACCTGGCTCTGTCCCCTGAGAGCACACAGTTACTCTCAAAGTGTGTTGCTGTCTCTATCCCAACTCCAAGATCACTCTGGGAATGGCAAGAATGACAGGGCGACGTCAATGGTGACATTAGAAGGTCACCAGCCATACACCAGCACAGACCAAGATTAAGAATGGCTGGAAGTGGTTGGGCACAGGGCCAGCAGTAGTTTCTTTCTGTGACTCTGGTACGTATACCCACAGGTACATATCTGTACGGTGACCCCATGGGGGCACAGAGGCCTGTGTGCATGGCTGGTAAATACATGCCTACCATTCATCTAGGCAAGTCCTGATCCCAACAAGATTCCCTTTTATTTGAAAATACTGGGCCATGGTCAGGCATGGTGGCACTTGCCTTTAATCCCAATACTCAGGTAGCAGAGGCAGGTGGATTCTATGAATTTGACACCATCTGGGTCTACACATTAAGTTCCAGGTCAGCCAGGACTACATAGTGAGACTTGTCTCCAAAAAAAAAAAAAAAAATTAAATTAAGTTAAAAAAAAAAAAAAAAAAAAAAAAAACACGGGGGTTGGGGGGGGGGACAAAATGGAAAATGCTAGACCTTCCACTTCAATACACTGTAGATGCATTCTTAGCTTTCTTGACCTATACCTCTGCTAACTGGTCACTGCTGTAGATACCAAAATAATCCAGGGGCCTTCAAATCTTTTTTCCTCCCATTCCCTTTAGTTCCTGGCCCCTCTGAGCCACCCCGTGGAAGGCAGGCAGCCACACTCACCAACGGGACTGGGGCAGGCTCCGTTAGCACTGTTGAGGTCTCCGCCCAGCATGGCTCCTGGGAGAAAACAGAGCTATCATAAGCTTTATCTTGGGACTGGACAAGAAGAGGGTTTCCTGGGGAGCCCTAGGCCTTTCCCCCTCATGAGTCACACACATTCAGGAATGCTGTGACGGGAAGAACCCCCCCCCCAGTTGAAAACGGAAGCCCAGAGGCTCACTTCCATCTTAGCAATTCACCCTCCAGCCCACTTACCTGCACTAGCAGGCCTCTGGGGCAGGCCTGGAGAAACACTGTTTCTCTGTAGTGCTGGCTGCTGGGGGGACAGGAGCCGTGGGTCCGTGAGGGATGATGTCACCAGGGAAGGAGTGACCAGAGAGCCACTGGGATTGCTGAACTGCATGGAGCTCTGATTGGACACGGGCACTGTGACAGGCATGGCAAAGTTGGGGGCCGGAACAGATGACTAGACAGAAAGATGGAGGGCAGTGTCACACCAGGTGAAACTCTACCTGGACCCATTTTTCCCTAGAGGGTAGGCACAAGAGCGCTCTGGCTCCTGGACTATCTCCAAGGGCCAGCAGCTTGGGCTCCCTGCCTTCAGCCCTTTTGCAGTCCTACCTACCTCCCATCAGAAAGATGAGAGCACCTTGCAACATAGGTCTGGTCCAAGGCAGGAGAGCAAGGCTCTGCCCCCTGCAGACAGGACTGGATACCCCCAGTGGAGGTGGGTTAGTCCTCAGCCAGGCAGGACACACTGGGAGCAAGTTAGTGCCCTGCATACAGACCCAAACTCACACACTCCTGGCAGTATGGCTTCACTAAGTGGCCACCCACCATTTGGCCTGCTTCAGGTGCAGCTCCAGCCCACCCTCTCCCTTCCCTTTAGCACTTCCACCTCCTTTAGACACAGCTCAATGTCTTAGGCAGAGGTGCCGAAGCAGCCCAAGAGGCCTCTCCCCAAAACATACTCTTCTTTGTCCTCTAAAGACTCAAAGCATTTGCACACTTTTTGTTGGTGGGGGACAATGCCTGTCTCTCTAGCTTATGCAAGAACTTTACAAGAAGAGGGTTATCAAAACCAAGGCCAGGAATTCCTCAGCGGTCAGTACCAGCTCCAAGCCGGCTCATCCTAGTCCACCCATCAGAGGCAGCCGAGGGCCGGGCAAGGCTGGGTGAAGCCACACCATGCAGCACAGGAGGCTCTCCTCCATGCGACTACTCACGGCCAGTCTATAACTCTGCATCATCTTATCAAATTCCTCGTCTATCTTTTTATACTTCTCCTCCGTCTGGGGGGTCAGGGCAAACGCCTCGTCCACCTCAGGGCTCTCACACTCCCTGTGCTTCTTGTGCAGCGCCTGGGGGAGGGGCCGGAAGGGGACCACAGAAAAGGTGAGGAGGGCTCACCCCATAGCGCCTGAAGAGCCCATCCAACTCCTCACTGGCCCGCCGGTACTTGTCCTCCAGCAGGGGGCTCTGCTCCAGTGAGTCCTCCCCATCCGGCTCTGGGCTGTCACAGCCGTTGAAACCCTTCTTCCTCAGGGTCTGCAACCGCACCACTCAGTCAGCCAGCCAGCAATGGTCCTCCTGCCTCCTCCAAGCTCCTCCCAACGATCCCTTGTTCTTTTCCAACTTCTCTCCCATGGTTCCCAGAAGCTCCAGTCCCCCCCCCCCCCAAGAGCCATCCTCCCTGCTACAATGCTCCCTTGGGGCCCTGAGGGAAGTGGGACCTAGCCCAGGCAGTGTACTGGCATGGGACAGGTATATTCCACACTCTGTGCAGGGAGAGGCCAACCCCAGCCTGTTCCCCTAAGGATGTGTTTGGGGGTGGGGGTGGGGGGCTCTGCCCATCCAAACCCCTAGGTTCTACTGAGGTAGAGAACTGGATGGAGACAGGAGAGGAGGGTACAGGAGAGCACAAAGGACCAGGCCAAGGCCTTGCACATGACCTAGAGTGTACCTGTGGCAGACTCAAGTACTTGTAGTTGCTCAGAACTTTAAAGATACTTGTTTTATTTTTTTTTTTTAAATCACATTTATTTATTTACATGTGTGTGCGTGCACATGCCAGGGCACATGAGTGCATGTCAGAGGACAACCTGCAGGGGTTGGTTCTCTTCCTTTTACCATGGGGATCCTGGAATTTAAACTCAGGTCATCAGACTTGACTTGGCAATAAGCGCTTTTACCTGCTAAGACATCTCCCCAGCCCTTGCTTAATTTTTACTTTTTTCTTATTATTATTACTTTTTTTCTTTTTAACACAGGGTTTCACTATGTATCCCCATTTGCCCTGGGACTCACTCTGTACAAGAGGCTGGCCTCAAACTCACAGAAATCTGCCAGCCTCTGCCTCCCAAGTGCTGGGATTAAAGGTGTGTGCCACCACCATCTGGCTTATTATTATTATTATTATTATTAGTTTATCTCATGTGTATGTCTGTTTTGTCTGTATGTATATATACCACATGAGTGCCTGGTGCCTGTGGGGTCAGAAGTGAGTGGATCCCATGGGACTGGAGTTACAGGCAGTTCTGAGCTGCCATGTGGGTGCTGGGAATTGAACCCCGCTCCTCCGGAAGAGCAGCCAGTACTCTTGGCCTCTGTGCCCCATATTGGCATCCTAGAGTGAGAAACATGAGCTGTTTGTTCACAGAACAGCCTTATAGCCAGCACTGCTCAGTCTGTGGAAGAGACCACAGCCCAGAGAAACCAAGCCACCTGCCTAAGTCCACGTGGCCAGTAAAGACCAGAGATGAATCCCAAAGCTCAAGTCCTCAACATTTCAAATTTTGACTCTGAAGTAGAGGACGAGAACCACACAGACCCATTAAGGAACAGGACAGAAAGGAGAGGCGGGAACAAAGGAGACACAAAAGAGGAATATCCCAGAGGATGAAGGAAGGAGGCGCTAAAGAGAGAGCAGAAGACAGCAGGATGTGCCTCAGACTTGGCTGAGACCTGGTATTGACTACATGTCTCATGCCTTCGCTGCCACGCCCCTCCTTCCTTGGGGCCTCGGTTCAGGAGAAGAGATGGATTTACACATGGGCAGAGGTGGGCACGGGCGCACCTCTATGATGTCAGCATTGGTGCGGCTCTCATGCGGTTCGTTGTACTCCGTGTACTTGAGCAGCACTTTGTCCATGTCGGTGCTGGCGTACTGAAACAGCTTGTTGGAGTGGTTGAAGATGATGAGTGCAATCTCGCAGTCACATAGCACACTCAGCTCGTAAGCCTTCTTCATCAGCCCAAACTTCCGCTTGGTGAATGTCACCTGCAGGAGAGTAGTGGGTGGCCAGGTCCACAATGAGTCCCTCTGCCCACAGATACCTGGACATAGCCCCTACCCTAGAGTTCCATTCTCAGGGTGACTCAACCACTGTCTATGGAAATCCTTGGTCTAGAAAAGAACACAACAGCACCCCTTGACTAGACCACAGCCAAGACACACCAGCCTCTGATGGGAAAGGATTGAGATGGCCAGGAGGCCACATCTCTGTGCAGTGGGCTGAGAAGAGCAGCGCAGTTCCTGGGCAAGGAGAGGGCGGATCCCTGCGGGGACGAGGGAGCTGCGGGTATGGCAATGGTGTGAAGCCCTGGTCATCTCAGACCTGCAGAGCTAAAGAGGCACACAAAGGTGACCCTCTCTCCATGCAGACTGGCTCCTGTGCTACAACCGCCACTGAGTTCCTGGGCTTCCAAGAAAGCCCTCTTCTAGAACTGATCATGGGTGACAGATGTTGGCTCCCTGCCCCCTTGCTCACATACCATGTGGGACTCTTGGATCTCCTCACCTGGCGGTTCCGCTCATCAGTAATTCGCTGGATCTGAATCTTTTTCCTCCCCATCTTCTCCGGGGGTCCTTGCTGCCGGAAGAAGGGGCCGCTGGGTGGTGGTCAGGAGCCTCACACTGTGCTCATGAATGTCTGGGACTAGTGTTCAGTTCATGGTCTGCAGAAAACCCATGCACAGCCTCCTGGGAGTGGAAGGTCATAAAAGGACATTAGACCCCCAAGCCCCAGCTTTGTTGCTTGAGATGTGGGCCAGACTTGAGATGTGCCCCACCCCAAATTGAGGCAATATTGGCTATAGTGGAAATGTGCCCCCCAATATTACATGTAAGTTAGGCTCCCACTGGGACTAGTACTTGGGTCTAGGCTGATTCTCCAAGTCATTGGTTTTCTTGGACTTTAGGTCACACAGAAGATATTGGGCTCTTGGCTTCTTGGAGAGTACCCATACCCTATTCTCTTGTATAGCTTGTCTGTACTATGTATTGTATTCCCCCTCCCTCCTACCCACCACCACCACCTGGACCAGTGGAGGTTCCTATGCTGGAACCATAGTGAGAACATGTTGAACTAATATCTACCCAGACTGAGTGCAACAGGCTGAGGGAAGATGCCTGGTGCCCCAGTTCAGGTTGGCAGCAGGGTCCTTACATGAACTAATGGAACCTGGGGACCGTGGAGGCTGGAATTATAGAATGCCCACCCCCAGTCACAGCTTGTGTACATCAGTCTGTTTCATTCTCTCAGCCCAAGTACAGTTTTTGTCTGAAGGAGGATGTCCTGCTGCTTACACACAGACAAATCTATTTTCCCTAACTCCTCACCCACCTCACATTGGGGACTGAACTCAATGGTCCTGCACAGGCTAGGAAGGCTCTGCCTAGCTGCATCCTCACCTCCATTTTTATTTCTTGAGCTCAGGTCTTTCTAAGTTTCCCAGGCTGGCCTCAACCTCCCAAGAAGTAATGGTGACAGGCCTGCACCACAAAGTCTGGCTCTTTTCTCTGATGCCTGGTATGGAACCTATAGTTTCACACTCCCTAGGTAAGTCCTCCATCACTGAATTCACCCTAATCCAGGCCAGTGTTTCTATAATGTACCAGAGAACCGGCACCACAGGCTGTAAATTCCATAGTAATGTTTAGCTTTGCTGCAGGAGCCTTTCTGGCAAAAGACAAGAAGACAGTAGCCGGGTGGTGGTGGCACAGGGCTTTAATCCCCAGCACTTAGGAGGCAGAGGCAGGCGGATATCAGGGAGTTGAGGCCAGCCTGGTCTACACAGTGAGATCCCTGCCTTGGAAAAAACAAAAACAAACAAATAAATAAATAATTAAACTGGGGGGGGGGCAGGAGATTTGCAAAGAGGATGTTCTGGAAGACTGAGAAGATGGCTTAGCATTTAAGAGCCCTTGCTGATCTTGTAAAGGAGCAGGGTTCAGTTTCCAGCACAAATTATTCTTTTTGGGGGGAGGGGGTGGCAGGGTTTTTTCTTTTCTTTTCTTTTCTTTTTTTAACAGCTCTGGCTGTCCTGGAACTTGTTTTGTAGACCAAGATGGCCTCAAACTCACAGAGATCCACCTGCCACCACCCAGCCTAAGATATCCATGTCATCTGGTCTCCACAGGAGCTGCACATATTTGGCGAATAGACACGCTCGCAGGCAGGGAGGTAAGGGTTCCTCAGCAATAGCTGGGTGCCAGTGGCTGTGAAGTAAAGCCTATGCCACAAGGCCCGAAATTTACAGAGAGTAAATGGCCAAGTTCACCAGGTACCTGACTATGATAGATAGGGGAGGGGAGGGAAGGCCCCAACCTGCTTAGGACCATCAGAGATCACATGACTGTCCCTCAGAATTCATTGTCTAGCTTCCACTCTGCCTAAGTGTCTACAGAGAACATCTAGCTCCTTTTCCTCCCCTGGAAGGAAGTGTTTTGTCTGCATGTGTGTAAGGTCACCAAAAGAGGGAACCAACGCCCTTTTCCCTTACTCAGATACTCAAGGAACTTCACAGTCCCTGGCCTTCTACATCCCAGACCAGCAGCAGCCTAGATAGCCCTCCATGACCCAAGCAGCAGGCACCTCTCCTGGCTTGTGACCCAAATCCTGCTCAACTCACTGCAGAGGCTCCAGCTGAACTTTTAGACTTTATTCCTAACTCTTAGGATGGTCCTCAAACTGTCTTCCCCATTGGCCTCTTCAGGTGGGAATGCACACTGGAGAAAGGGCTATGGTTAAGTTGGTTTTTAAGGATCTCTCTGGCCCAGCCTTGGGAACTCCAATCTAGAACCACCATGAAAGGTCTCCTGACCCCAGTAGCCATGCAGCTAGCTGCCTTCCTTCTTGTCCCCTTTCCTGTCTCCAGCTCACCACATTCAGTCCATGAATAGATTTTTGATGACAGAGCCTCTCTTTTGCTTATGGCCAGTGCTATCTCCTCAGGAACGGGGAACATGAACTGTCTCAATCTCCAAATAATTATGCTTCTCTTCTGTGCCTGGTTCCCCCAAAATTGGAGCTTCATAAAGGCAGGAATCAGATCTGTCTTTTTACTATGCTACTACCTGTAGAAAGTAACCCAGAAAATACCTATGCAAAGAAAACATGAGCCCAGGAGAAAGTCCTTCCTGCAGTCTAATCTCTGTCTGTCCTGCTGTTCTCACTCACTGTCCTCTGCTGAGCTATCAGCTGCCCTCAAAGCCTATCAGCTTGGACACCTCTGACCCTCCAACCAACTCTGCCACCCTCACCCTCATCCCTCTCTACACTCAGCTAGGCTGGTGCAGAGGGTAAGACTCTAAGTCTTCCAAGGAGCAGCCCTGAGCACATGGAGATGGAGAGGATGGGGTTGCTTAGGCAACTGTCGCCTGGCAACCAGCTCCCTGGCTGATCTCCTACACTGCCCCCCCATCCCTGCTGCATGCTGGGGGAGCTAGGATATGAGAGAGATCATGGCTGAGAAGGCAGGGAAGCCAGAGAGACCCAGTGAGTATCCTTTAACCTGTCTAAGAGGTCAGGGCCCAGAAAGCCTGACTCCTTCTACACTGGCTCAGCCATTTATAATACCCTGCCTTGGGCAGTCCTTCCTCCTAGCTAACCACAAGCTCTCTTACAAAGCAGGCTCTGTCCCCTCTGCTGTCCTCCACATTGCTTCAGAAGCCCTAGGGCAAGATTAGGAACTCAGTCTTGGGCAGAGATGGTCACAAAGGTCCTCAGACTGACCCAACTTCCCCACTCCATCAGGAGGTTTTATCGAACTCCTGGACCTACTTAATTAGTCCTCTGTTCCACAACCTAACTAACTGCCAGGCGCCAGAGGCCTGGGCATGTGCTCTCCAGATGCAGGCTCTGCTACTACCTGGCTTAGCCTTAGCCAGCCCCTCTTCTCCCATGTCCTGGCCTTTGGGCTGCTCTTTCCTTCTTTTTTTCCTTTTTTTTTTTTTTTTGGGGGGTGGGCTGAGAGAGGGTCTCTCTGTGTAGCCCTGACTGTCCTCGAACTCACAGAGATCTGTCTGCCTCTGGCTCCTGAGTGCTGGGCTGCTGCTCTTCTAAGCCTAGTCTGCAGCTCTTGGCAGACATGCTGAGGTGCCAGGCCCCAGGTCTTCCCATCCTGACCTCAGACCACAGCTGTGTCACAGCACTGCCCTGCACTAGGTTCTAGCTGGACAGGGTAGTGCTCCCAGAAGGCCACAGCAGCAGCAGAAAGAAGAAAGCACTGGCTGGGGGACCTGTAAGGGGGGGCGCGGCACAGGATCTAGGATCCCATGGCAACTGTGCACTGTTTACAGGCGCAAAGGAGGGACAAGTGAAAAGCAAAGGGACGCTGGCTTGAGGGGTCATAGGAGGATAGGCCCTTGTCTCCCTAATGTCACACGTCTTGGTACCTGAGCAATAGTCAAACCACTCTGGGGTTTCAGAATGAGGCATCTCAGTTCCTGTGTAAAAGGCCTGGGTGGAGATGGGAGTAAGGTCAGGACTGGTTCCTGCAGCCACCGCTGAAGGGCCAGGCAGGAACATCCTTCCTCCAGAAGTCTCTATCCTTTCTCAGCTCTTCAGCAATGAACCCCTATTTTCTGCTCTCACGCCCTTCTGCCCCTGAGCACTGTGTCTGGTTGCCTGAGGCTCTAAAAGGCAGCATGCAGCTGACTCTGGAGCCCTATACCAGCAGGTTCCAAAGGAGCAGAGGCCAGAAAGGCCAAGCCCTGGGCTAAGGGAGTGGGAGGCAGGAGGGATCTGCTCTCATTAGGCAGGGCTCCCCTCCCTTGTAGGCCGCTGGGGGGCCTCAGGCTGCACTGAAGACAGCTGTCACCCTCCTCCACCCTCTCCCGGGTAGGGCTGCAGGGCATGAAATAAGCAGCAGGCGCTGGGGGAGGGGGCGACAATCCAATCCACCTGTCACCCCCACAGTCGGGCAGCCTGCTTAACTAAGTGGGGGAGGCGTGGGCAAGGTGGGGACAGATGCAGAGACACAGGAAGAAGACAGAAAGGGGCCAGTGAGGCAAAGGCACAAGGCTAGGAAAGCAACTGGGCTGGGCAGCGGAGGGGTGCCCCAGGAGCCTGCCCCGGGGGCACCCTCCCTGCCCCAAGCTAACTCTCTCCTCTAGAGTTCCCAACAGCATACTAAGGTGCAAGCCCCAAGCCTTCTGAGTTCTGAAGGCTGACTACCTAAAACCCTGGTTCCCACACCACGTCCCTCCATCCCCTCCCCCAGCCAGCAGCTTGGGGTTGGGCAGGGGCTATTTTTAGCCTGGGCAGTGAGCTAATTATAACTCACCAACAAGGGACCTGAGGGCGGGCTAGGGGGCAGTCCAGGAAAGCAAGGCTAGGGAGGGATGGTCCCAGGCACTGTGACCTGTAGAGACAGAAACTGGCTTGAGGAGCACCCACCTTCCCCTCGCTTCCATTGGGCAACCCCCCCCCACACTTCCCACCCCTCCTGTCTAGCAAACCTCTTGGGAAAATGTCATCCTGTTTTCTCCGAGAGGGACTGTCTGTCAACTGTGGCCCACTCCCTGTCCTTCCTGCAGTCTAGCTCTCACTCTTCCTGTAGCAGCTGAAGCCTTGAGGCTCCCTATGCCTCCTCCCACCTAGCTACTCCCACCCTAGAGCCACCCGCTGGGCCTCAGGGACTATTGTGGGCTACAGAAGACAGACTGCATCCTGGTAGCACAGAGGTGAGTCCTCGAGG